CAGGGGTTTTCTCTGTTAGTGTCATTAATTGACTCTATGACTGCATGAGGTGACCTAATTGCTGTGAGAGCTCAAGGGTACCTTGCCCATGGGACCAGATCCAGAAGGGACCCTCCTAGATTTCCCATCCCTTCACTGGTGACTTTCATGGGAACTTATCCATAGAACACTAAGCAGCTGATCATCAGAGTCAGCTTGGTGCCAGGAAGATTTATTGAGTTGACAACTGGTCAACTGACTAGATTTGCCACAGGTTTCAACTAGTTATTTGGAACCAGAAACACACTGTTGCAGAAATGACAGAGCAAGATAATCAAATCTTCTGGGGGCGATAGAAATGGAATGGTATATAATTTACATAACTAATATAAGTATATTCTTATTTATTTTTATATAGGAAAGATAAGATTTATTTTATTTACAACACACTCTAGGATACTGAGTGGTTACCATATTTAAAGGCCTTGATGGTTAGATTTATCCAATTATAAACCAGTTTCCACCTACAGAAGGAATGAGGGTTCCTAGTCCTCAGCACCTCATGATGTTTGGCCTAAAGATGCCACATGAAATTGGAATGCAACTCCTTGGTATTTACAGAGGCTGTCACAGTACATTTTACCAGACCTTAAGCTACCAAAGTTGTTTATAGGTAGTTGGCAAGGGTTCACAAGGCATTTTATCTCAGCAAAAAAATTTACAACTGTCTTAGTTACTTTTTACAGTTTGTAGAGGATTCAAGCCATAACTGCTGGCTGCAAGACAGCGTGGAACAGGACAGATAGGCAACAGTTCATGGTGGTGGGAGACAGCAAAAAAATAAGCAAGGGAGACAAGACTCTGTCCCTTATATTGTATTCAGGCTACCCACACTAGCACTGAACCCTTAAATCCCAACATTGGACCATGAATCAACCACAAAATCTAGATTCAGGCACCTCTGTAAAGCCTGCCCCACATGACTGCATGAGACTTTGTGGGGACATCTAGACACAACCATAACAACAACCATCAGACCCAGCAACTGAAAATGTAGCTGAATATAAACAAGTGCAGTTGGTTACCTTGTAGAAAATAGACCTAGGCACCATTTAGTACTTTCAGAGGCTACTGTTAGACTGCAGAAGCAATCCAAAGTAAAAAAGCAGAATTAGTGGTAACAAATGCAAATTCTGCTGGATGTGATGATATATATCTGTGTAGTACCAGCTATTTAGGGGGCTGATGCAGGAAGATTTCTTGAGGTGAGACCTGCCTAGGCAGCAGGGTAAGACTCTGTCTCAAAGAATGAGATAAAATAATAAAATAAAATAACAGCAAATCCTTCACAAATTCCATCCAAATTGAATCCATATAAATGTGAAAATATATCTTTCTGAATTCACCTTTTGCTGAATTTGTATTCTTCTATCAGGTATACATTTTTGCAAAATATATACTGTTTCTTCTTTTAACCATGGAAATGATTGCTTTATTTAGACATTTAAGAGAATACACAAAGTTGAAACATTCATACATTGCTGGTGGAAATATAAATGGTACAGCCACTTTGGAAAACAGTTTGGTATTACTTCAGATATCAAATATAGAGTTATCATACAATCTAACAATTCCATTTCTTGGCATACAACCAAGAGAAATAAAAGCATACATCCATATAAATATATACATATATATAATATTCATAGTAGTATTCATAATAATAGCCCCAAAGTGAAAAGATTCCAAATATCTGTCTACTGAGGTATGTATAAATAAAATTTGCTATGTCCATAAAATGAGATCTTATTCAGCAATAGAAGAAAATGAAATACTGACACAAGCTAGGTGAATCACAAGTTGGATGACCCTTGAAAAGATGCTAACTGGAAGAGATCAATTCACTTTTATGAAATGTCTGGAATGGGCCAAACCATAGAGACAGAAAATGAATCAGAGTTTGCTTACAACTAGGAGAATTGAGGGGTGGACCGGTTATGTGAGAACAGGTTGGCACAGCAGAGGGGCTTCTAATGTTCTGTCTTCCCGATGCACGTGCTTATCCATTGACCATGAGACTCAGCAGGAGCTGAGCAGATGTCAGCATCATGCTCTTGTATTTCTCAGCCTCTAAAACTGTGAGCCAATAAACTTCTCTTCTTATAGCTTCTTTATAGCATTCTGAGGTATTCTGTCATATTAAAAGAAATTGAACTAAGATAGTACCTAATATTGTGCTAGCACATTACAGGCATTCAATAAATGAATGAAGTGAGCACTGAATAAAGAACATACTCAAAGGATACCTTTCACCTCAAAGGTAGCCTAGAATTAACAGGGAACATTTTAGAAAGGCCTCACTCCTGCCCTTGCCCACAGGTTTTAGATCAAAAGTAGCACTGAAAAGTTGGAGTAGTTAAAAGTTGGCTAAATAGCCATTATGTGTAAAGGGCATAAAGTCTTGGGAAGTGCCTGCCTGCCACCAGAATATCTGGAGGAAAAAAGTAGTTTGCTTACCTTTTGAAGTGTTTTCTAAACGTTATGTCATTACAAATAATAACTCAGTTATATGAACTGCTTAGATAAATTTTCCATTCCATTATTTGGTTACAAATAAAGGATATTATGTACAAAACAGTTTAGGGAAGGGTCCTTTTGAGGTGTGCAGATTTTTGTTTTAGAACCCAAGACTGATTGTATCTGCATTATAATGCGTATTATTCTCACCAGTTCAATAAACCATTTTTCTCCACTCATAAGCCTAGCTTTTGACCCCCCAAAAAGTAATTTGTGGAGAGGAAAAAGAAAAATTAATGAACTAAAAAGTTAACTGTTTCCCACACTTTGATTTTGATAAAAAGTGCTATACTTGTCTACTTCAAGGCAACAGCTTGTCTGTCTCACAATACATAGAGTAAGTAGGTGTCACAAGAAAGAATTCAGGTTTTAGATTCTTGGGGTCCTTGTAGAGGCCACCTGATCTGAGAAGGAGGTGATGAAGGCAGGAAGGGTTGGGGTGGAGAAGAGGAAGTACTGGGATAGAAAAGGAGAATGGAAGAGCACGGGATGACCAACATGTAAGTTACTAAAACTATGTGACCTGCAATCCTAGTTATGAGTGGATCCCCTGGAGAAACTCCGGAACTTGTGCCCCAGCAATCACAACGTTGCTAAAGAGCTTACAGCTCCACTTACAAAAGGTTTAAAAACTGGCAAAGCCAAATGTGCGTTATTTAGGGGTGCATGTGTTAAAACTATTAAAGCAGATTATCACAAGATTCAGAATAATGATTGGAAAGCTATCACCATGTTTTATGCCTTATAATCACAGTCATTATTAATTGTCTAAATCATAAATTATCATGTGCTATTTTACATGTATCACCCCCTTTACAATTTTTCAGAAGTTTTTCTGAAGTCAACAGAAATGCTGAGTCAGAGATTCACTGGGCAAGCGCAGAGGTGGGGGAAGAGAATCACACATCACCTGAACCAAAAAATTTATTCCGGATCTAAAGTTTGGATTTCTACTCACAGGCAATGGGCAGTGTAAATAAATAAATAAAATTAATAAGGAAGGAGAACTCTGAAGCTCACTTTCATTGGCCTTAATCCTCTATCACCACCAAAAGGGATCTGCTGCTGCTCATTCTCACCAGATGCAGCTGGCCCTCCGTGCCTGTGTCCGGGCTCCATGCTGCTGCAGTCCACTTACCCAGCTCTCGTCCCCATAAGTTTGCTGAAACCCATAGTCTTTGCTTACCATCTGGACCTGTATCAGGGGACATCTAGTGTTCACCAACTACTGGATGAATTAAAATATTTCAGTGACCTTTCAACACTTGTAGATGCTCTGTCCCATCTGGAGCCCTGTACTCTTACCCCAGCCTCAGTCCCACCACCCATGACCTAGATGTGACATTTGTACCAGTGAGGACTTTCTCAGTCTCCCCAGTCAGAACTGAGTGTCTGCCTCTTTTGGCCCACAGAGCCCCCTATGTATGGTTAGCAGTTGGTGTTGTTAACTAAAGACATGGTTCCATTTCCATCAGATGTAGAGACCTTCAGAACCAGAGTCTCTACCTAGTGGTCTTTCAGCATGAGCAATACTCAAAGCATCAGGAAGTCCGAGTGGATCTAAGTCTGCAGCCAGGTCCTGCTGATGTGTCCCCCACCCTAAACAGCTAGATATCAATTCCTCGTTGCTGAATCAGTGGGAGAAGAGGAGAGCAGGCCAGGGGCCAGGCAGTTCCTGTACAAAGATGAGAGACTCAGGATCATATGTATTTTCCAACCGTGGTAGTTTAATAACTAGCATGGCTATTATATATCAATATCCAGTGATTCAATACCATATATCTTTGCATGTAGACAGCACTATGCCTGGTACAAGGTGTTTGGTAAGTAGTTACTCAAAGAATGAGACATATAATAATTATAATTTGAATCATTCACTATTTGACCAAAAAGAAGAAAGGGAGAGGGAGAATCTGAGACTTGGCTTCTACTGTAAACTTGTAACTATTAATGTACAGATTGGTAAGTATGGCCGTGTGACCTACGCTGGTTTATTAAGACTCACCCTGACTTTTTGTTTGAATCCTCCTAACCCCTCAGCTCCTCCAATAACCCCTGTAACCAAGCTAGTTTGGGGAGCTGTCTAGCCCCCCAAAAGGGGGATCTGTCAAGAAGGAAGCACAGGGTACCAGAAGCAGGATATGAGGAGAGTCAGGTGCTGTAACCTGATTTAAATCCTACATTCTGCTGTGCCTGAAGATCCGATCCGCACCTTTCAGTTAAATGACCCCAAGCACTCCCTTTCTTTCTTACAATATTTGACTTATTTTTTGTATTTTACTTTGTTTTGCCTTTGCAATCATTAAGTCCAGTCTAATTCAGGCTGAGAATCTCCTGAAGGAGAATCTCCATTAGGAAAAAATCTCACAAGTCTAAGTTTTTATTTGTATATCTCCTATCTTTCACATCCCATGACATCTTGCCAGTTCATTTTGGTAACTCACCTCTCACCAAGGAGAACATTTGATAGATTTATGAATGTGGGGAAGTCCAGGGTGTTCATGACAGGATAGGCATGGATAGGAACAAGCAAGGTGTCATCTCCCTAAAATTAGTGAGAAAAGGTGAAGTTAAACATTTTGAAAAGTATAATTTCATCTTGTTTGCTATCATAAAAATTTCCCTTAAGCTAAAGTACTTAAGTACATTAGAAATTCTGAGTTTTCTCCAACATAAAGTGTAGAAGATGTTAGGTATATTTCACTGAAATGATGTTCACTATTGTTGAAAGAGCTGAGGAAAATGATGCCTTCATATAGATATAACCACCATTCTGTTTGCTTCTGCTTCATCAAAAGCTGAGACACTCTTCAACAGTGCATGAAAAAGCAAAACCAGCACAGTCATCTGATTTGAGCAGCTCAGGATAGAGAGCAGTTTACTGGCAAAGGACACAGTGACCTGGTTCTAGTTCTGCAAAATGCATCAAACAAGACCTTTAATCATTTCTTCCTTTGTAAAACAGAGACAATCATACCTTTCCCAAAAGGTATTTTGAAGAAAGGAAGCAAATGATGATCTTAAAAATTCAGAAGTGCTATTCACAAATTGGCTATTGCTCTAAGCACTATTGTAAGTGGCAGGAAACGTGTATTATTATAAACAGCCCGCTACACAATGCTTAGCCTAGAAATTTTTCTTCTGCTGAGTATCCATTCTGAAGACGATATTCTGGTTCCATTTTTAGGATTTAAAAGAAAATTAAGCCAGGTGTGGTGGTGCATGCCTGTAATCTTAGCACTTGGGAGACAGGAAGAGGACTGCTGTGAGTTCGAGGCCAGCCTGGGCTACTCAGTGAAGCCAAGGCTAACCCAAACTGCATAGTGCGACCCTGTCTCAAAAAAACAGACCAAAACAAAACATTAAAACTCACACAAATAACAATGGTTTGTCACGTTATTAAGGAAATGTGTTCCTTGTTCTAAAATATTTGAGGTGTGTTAGCTCTGAAGAATGCTTCTTCCTTAGTGTAGAAGCATCACCAACATGATGTGAGTCAATGAGAAAATTCTATCAATTCATAAAAATTAAAGTCACAAGTTTCCATGACTTTTATAAAAAAAATTAAAAAGAAAATACTTTATAAGTCACTTTATTGTATGAATTGTAAGCAATAAAAGTAAACTCATTGGCTAGCATATCCCACTCATGCTTCAGGTTTGAAACACTTAAGAATGGAGCTAACTTGGAGTTTTCCTCAGTTTCAGAACTGGGTTTGCAATTGAGAGAAATGAAGGGGTGCAGATGGCTATTTTAAGAGAACTGACAACAAGGATAGCTGGCTCTGGAGGTCAAAGTGTGACATGTAGGACCTAGAAGAGACTCAGAAGAATCCCAACCCCACAGTGTGCCAGGTCAGGCCTGAGAATCGCAGGGCTGCCTCCTCCGTGAACCATGTCCTTGACACTGAGGGTAGTCGTTAATCTATAATCCTGACTTGGTGATCACTGGCTTTTTGGTCTAGCCCCTAGGAGAGAGCATCGCCACACAGTAAGGGAGGTTTTGGCACAGGGCTCTGGACACCTGCAGCACACAGTACTCTGAGTCTTCCTAGGTTCTCAGCAGTCTAACACTGTCCCAACCCAGGTTCTCAGTAGCCCAGCACTGTGTGATGGCTAGATGGATGTGCGTGTCACTGAACAGCGCCCTTCCATGTCAGTCAAACTGGCGCCTGAGGAACACCTGGCACCAGGCTGAGGGAGCTCTGTTGGGCCATTCCATCTCTCTCTCCCTTCACTGAGTGCTGGCCAACTCCCAGCCAAAACAGTTGGAGGAGACTAACCTTACAGTGAATGCGGATGCAGTCATAGTAGTAGCGCCACTCATCTGGAGAAAATGTAATGGTGACTGCAAGGGACAAGCCAGGGATGAGGCGGTTTTCCTGGAAAGCAAGTTGATTCTCGTTGGGACAAGCCCCAGACCTCACAGACCACAGCCCTGTGAGAGACAACACACAATACTACCACAGCCCCAACAGGCTTGAGACCTAGAAGTCCAGCAAGGAGCAGCATGGGGAGCGGAGATGGTCAAGGGCCACTTACCTTTTTCACATAGCTGATCTGAAAGTATTTGGTTTGCGGGGGTAAAATATGAACATGTGTGTCTTCATCAGAAATGTTGGCCAGGTGCTGGGTGAGAGAAAGACATGGTTAGAGCCAAGACACTGATTTATTTATTTGTATATTCATCTCCTCATGCATTTATACCTCATCTTATTCCTAAATGGATATGAGGAGACATATTTTTTAAACTTTGTAAAAGATTTGAAGTTTCCCATATATCATTTAAAAAACAACAAAATGTGCCCATGTGTCTACTGCTCCCCAAAGAAAGATACCAGGGTCTGTAACCCTATGGCCTCCAGAATACATGGTCCTCTAGAGGCCTCCTCAATCCTGAAGGTTTACTGTGTGCACTTTCTACTGAATTTAGTGTGGTCCTGAGAGTCCCCTGAACTTAAAGGTCAGCCACCAGCTCCCACAGGCTCTCTAATTCCAGGCCACTGTCTTGGGGTCAGAGGATACTCAGACCCTCAGAAAGTCAGGAGAAAACTGTGGCTGGGGCAGCACCTCACCCATCCTGGGCAAATGGCAAAGGCTACTCAGACAGCAGTAGAAGCCCACCATCCAAAGACAGAATTTTCTCTGAGGAAAGAGAGGGTTTCTCGCTGTTGGACAGGGAAGCAGGAACTTTGAGCTTCAGAAATCTGGGCTTCGCCTGTGCCATGCAGGGTTGAGTGGCCTTTGGTTTCCACAGTTCAGGCCAGAGGCTCAGCTTGTCACTGGGGCTCTGGGAGACTCATTGTCTGAGGTCTAGTATTCATTAAGGTCCTGTATTAGACTTCACACATTAGCTCCCAAGGAGACCATAGTGGTATTTGCATATGTTAAAAGTTCTTATTTGTTGCATGGGAACATTCTTGAAGTACCACAATTTTGACTTTGTTTGGTTATGTATTTTTTTTCATATTAAAATATGTGAAAAGTCTAGAAATGAAAGCTTCGTAGAGGCCCTGGAGAGGCACAGTCTTGGTGAAGGTTGTGCTCTCAGGGACCCAACACACAAGAGTAGTCCTCCCATGAGAGATGGGGAGGATAGATGTACTAGGCCATCACGCTCAGAGGCTTGGGTAGGATCTACATGGAGGTGAAGAGGTTCCTGGGATCTGGTAAGCTTGAGAAAGACCTCTCTCCTCATACTGGTCATGGGGCTGGAAGTGGGGGATGGTAAAGGCCTTGAGCTGGGAGTCCAGGGAGATCAGGGAGTAGAAGTGGCTCTACCATCAATCATTTACCTAAAAATCATCCCACAAGGACAGCAAAACAGACAAGGATGTACAAATGGGTTTTAGCATGTCCCCTGTAGAAGAAACTAGTGATTGTACTCCGAGAGTCCATGGTGAGTGCTAAAAGATCCCAATCCAGCATCTCTGCTCCAGAAGCAGCACCTATGGAGCTTCAACGATGTTTACCAAAATAGCCGGAGGAGCTTCTGGTAGCAGGAGGGATGCCAGAATGTGTGGATTAACTGGAGTAATATTGTTCTGGAGTTTCTACTTTGGTATATGAGCAACTGGATCTAGAGACCAAACATCCCTACAGTAGTGCTCTGAAAGGTATTTCAGTGTCCAAGCTGGGATCTTTAAGCACCTCCTCTCAGTCTGGTGCATCATCTCAGAGAAAATCAGTACTTCACCCCAGAGTACAGGCCCAATTTCAAACAGCCCCCTCTAGTCTGTTTTACCTTAACGTGTGTTGGTCGTGCACTTTACCCTAAAATTTTGTTCTGTACTGCATTTTTCTAAAATGTGAGAGTAAAACCGACACTCTAGAATGATATGCTGTGTTTTACTATGCTTTCAATTCCTCCCATTCCTACACCCTGAGGAGAAACCATTAAGATTCATTGCCCTAATTTTGAAAATAAAGATCTCAGGGGTCCTTAAAAACTATAATAGGGAAATAAAAAGTAATATGAGTATTTTTAAAAGCCAGAAGGTATCATTTCTTTATTTAAGACAAGGCTTCCTAGGCTAGCAATTTTGTTTGTGGCTGTCAACAGGAAAATTGATGGGTTGTTTACTTAATAAATATAATTTCCCAGGCAAAAATCTTTCCTCAAAGAGGAAAAGTAATGTAAGAAGTATTGATTTTGAGAACAGTGGGACCATTATTTCAAAATTTAAAGTACTTCAAAGCAGTGATTTCACTATGAATGAAAGTAAAATGGTTTAGTTCCTTTAGCCAAACTTGGATCGATCCCAAACGTTAATGAACAATTTATTGTGGTTTGAAACACACATTCAGTTATTTCACTCTTGGGCAATTTGCATAGTTTCCTGTAGCAAGATCAAGATAAAAACAGAGTTGGTGAATTTTTCTCTTTGTTTGGCAAGAATCTCAAGGTAATATCTTTGGGCTTCCACTTCACTTTGCTGGTAGAAACAGAAGGCTGGCTCTTCCAATATCTCTCAGCGTGTTTCTAAGATGAAGTAATTTTGTAATTTTATCTATTTCTGTTTGTTTTAATGCCTGATAGAAGCAGTATGATTCATGAGTCTTTGTTAAGTCAATCTCTTGCAAGAAAGTATATTCAATACAATTCCTTCTTGAGCATTCTTTGAGCACCTTCTGAGTGTTGGACATTGTGGTATGTGCTAAGGGACAGGCACTACAAGTGACAGATGTTCTTCTGTTCTCCAGCAGAATGAAGCAGAGTTGAGGCTTCAGATCTTTTTCAGTAATTAAATCAAACTCCCATGCTCCTCATGCATTTTCAGTGGGATTGCCATGACCCACCGAGGAAGTGAAAGTTGTTTTTTGGGAGGACAAAACAATCGTACGTATTACCATGATTTTAGGACCTTCCAAAGCTCAATCTTGTCTAACAAAATCTTATTTCTTAGTATTTTTTCTTCATTAATATTTTCTTAGGGGGCTGGAGATTTAGCCCAGTGGCATAAGTGCCTGCCTGGCAAGTGCAAGGTTGTGAGGGGCTGAGGATGTAGTTGAGTGGTAGAACACTTACCTCCCATATACCACAATCTGGATTCAAGCCCCAGTACCATTTTTTAAAAAAGCATTGCAATACTCACCAGGTAGATACAACATACCTTTATAAAAAAAAACCTTAGCTGTTATTTTTTAGAAAGGAATTAACAAACTGATTCTAAAATTCATATGGAATTTCTACAATAACCATGTGCTGCAATATCATTAAGAGAAACATACAGATAAGTGGGGTAGAAATGAGAGTCCAGAAACAAACTCTTACATTTACAATCAATTAATTTTAACAAGAGTGTCAAGGTCATTCCACAGGGAAAGAATAGTCTTTTCAAAAAACACTGGAACATGAGTAAGACTGAAGTTGGACTCCCAACTTATACAATACATAAAAAATAAAATGAACCACACAGTTACATTTAACAGCTAAAACTATAAAACAATTAGAAGTATATCTTTATGATCTCAGATTTATCAGTGGATCCCTAGAAGTGACATCAAAAGCATAAGTGACAAGACAACAAACAGATGAATTGGACTTAATCAAAATTTAAATCTTTTGTGCTGCAAAGGACATTGTTAAGAGAGCTAAAAAGATAGCTCACAGAATGGGATAAAACGCTTGCTAGTCATATATCTGACAAATGACTTTATCCAAAATATAAAAAAAAACTCTGAAAACTCAAGGATGAAGAGAGAAATCACTTAAATATAAAATGCATAAGGGATTTGAACCAGTGTTTCTCTAAGAAAGGAGACAAATAGCCAGTAAACTCATAAAAAGTACTCAAATCATTAGTAATTAAATAAATGCAAATAAAACTACAGTGAGCTGAATGGTGGTCTTGAAAAGATATGTCACATTCTATTCCCAGAAACCTGTGAATGTGGCCTTATTGGAGAAAAGGTCTTTATAGAATTTAGGCTGACACTCTTGAGATGGGTCCATCCTAGATTACCTGGTTATATGATTTCATTCACGTGAAATGCTCAGAATAGGTAAATTTAGGTTCAGGAAACAGATGAGTGCTCATCTAGGATGGGGCTGGAATAGAGTGAAGGCAAGGGATGTGACAGAGAATACAGAGGCTGATACTGGGTGTGAGGTTTCTTTTTGGGGTGATAAAATATTCTAAACTTACAATGTGCTAATGGCTGCAGATAGGTAAATTTGTTAGAAATCACTGAATGGTATGAGTACTGTAAAGTGTAAATTAATGCTGTTTGCATTATATTTCAGTGAAGCTGTCAAAGGTGAGTATAATAAGGAGCAAATAATGAAATCTTATTTTAGCTTTTGATATCTATTTGGCTTATAAACAGTAAGTATGAATAATACTTATTTTAGATCTATGCTACCATAACCTAGACAGGACCGTTCAATAAGGAAAAGTAAACTCTAAAATTAATCATTAACTTTGGTCTTGATGCCATCTCCTAACAGGTCTTTGCAGGGTGGTGGAGAAGTTCCTAGGCACAACTTTAAACACAAGTCCTCTTGCTAAGCAGGAATATTGGGCCCAACAGGTTTCTCCCCAGGTGTTAAGTGCAGGAGGAATTCAGAAACAGCATTTTCCCCAATGCTGGGGACTGCCTTGTAGAAACCTAACTTCATTTCCTTATAGCTCTGGCACATCTCAGTTTCCTCTACTAATGGTTCTCCCTCTAAAGGGTCTAACATCATAATTGAAACTCTGCCTTAAAATGATGCCCTTTAAGAGATGACTTTTAAAAATGCACCATAAGTAGTACTGTGGTAGCTAGGGACAGGACCAGAGGGAGAACATCAGTATAAATGCAGGGCCTCAGAAGGCTACAGGAAGAGACCCCAACAGCCCAGAGGCCAGTTTGGTTCAAATCTTAGGCCCCATGTGGAGCAGTTTTGAGATATGCTGCTCAGTGTGACTATACAATTGGTCATGGAGGTAGGAGAGCTGACATAAATGTTTTGGTATATTTTCACATGGCTTTGCACAGGGGAGACTCTGAATTCACACAGAGCCTACTCTGGTCACCGTCCAGGTCAATGAAGGGCACACAGAAGGACTAATCTTCCTTGTAAACTCTCAGTCACTGTGGGCTCTGGCTACTTTGTGTCCAGCCTTTCATCTGTCTCTTCTGCAGCTTGTTCATTGGGGTTGACTTCTCCCTCCCCAGATTTCAACAAATCCTCCCTGGCCAGATGACTGATTTAGGCATAGGCATCCAAGCCCAAAGCTTAATGGAATGCATGCTGGTGGAAACTCACAGGAAAGAGACAACCTTTTCCCTGGGAGGGCCCTTGCTCAGAGAAGAAGTAATTTGTTTGCTGCATCTTTAAAATTCATCATCACGGATCTACATTTCTAGCCTAGCACTTCAGCCAATTATGATGCTCTTTAGGTAAATGGATAATATAAATACAGAACAGTAATGTAATTTCATTACCATAACTAATTATAGCTCTTACAAAGTACCTACCAGAATCTGTTGGTGCTGTTTTTCTATTTGATAGCCTCCAAAATGCACTATGCCAGGTCTTGCTTGTATAGCATTATTATTCAGAAGTTTGGCATAAATCTCTATAAAAACAAGGTAGATAAGTACATATTGAGACCTCACAGGAAATATTAAATTAAAGATTCTATTTTTAAAAAATCTTATTTAAGGAGAAGAAGAAAAAAAATAGAAAAAGGGTACAAGTTATACAGAATTTTAAAGAAAAAAAACAGTAGGAAATCACTAGTTAATATATTACATATTGTCACCTTAGAAATAGTTGTTCAAGTTACAAAATTAAAGCATATAAAGTGGACATTCAAACAGTGAGACTGCAGATAGTTCTGTTCAATAATCCAACAAAAACTCAGTAGTATGGTTATCTATCTTACACGCTTAAATATACATGCAGTTATATCCTTTAGAACACTTTCTTTCCTCTCTTTTTTAAATGAAAATTACACATTTTGGGTTTTATTACTCCCACAGTTCTTATTACATTTTTTTGAAGAGAATAAAACCAAAGGTGATATAACAAAACAGAGTCAGTCAAATCAAAAGGATGGACATAGTACATGATGTAAAAACAGAATACAAAGTGATCAACAATGGTTACCATAATGCCTCTTGCTATCTTAAAAAGAATTCCTATATCATCAGTTATAATAAAATTGAACAAAACAGTAAAGAACAAAACCAATAAAACCAAAACAGTGGAGACATCACAGGACTTCAAAAAAAGATAATAGTCAAACCAGAATGGGCATCATAGTGAATCTTATTGTCTTCACAGTTGTTGCCTATGCTCTCAAACTTGGTGCTATCAAGCAAAACAGAATAGAGTAAAATCAATCAAAACAAGATGGTGAGAGCAATACAGAGTTTCAAATCAAGTTAATAGGAAATCAGTGTGGGTTACTATAATATATCCTACTATTTTTTAGTTAATTTTTCCCTAGTTAAAAAGATAAAAATAAAAAAATAATTAAAAAAGGAGATTGAGATAAACGAGGACATAACAACAGAACAGCACAGGTCAGAACATAACCATTTAAGCAAAATAGTGTTTTGCTTAGATATCCCAACATAAAAGTAGTTACCATAGTGTCTCTTTCCTTGAAATCTTTGAGTATAACTTCGTATACTGTAGCATCAAACATATTAAGACAATATAAGACCATTCAAGAGAATGACAGTACTACAGGGTAGTACTGTAGAACCAACTAACAGAAAATAAACAATGGTTTCTGTATTATTTCCTTGTCTATAAAAGTTTTTTTATATTATCACACATAATAAAATCCAATAAGATACAGCATGTTAAGACCAATGGAGACAGAAGAACAAAAACTTGATGGGACTTCAAAACAAGATGATATTAAATCAGCACTAGCTATTATGATGACTTGTTTTCTCCAATATAGCTGTTCCTACCATCCAACCTTCTCTGCCTCATTTCTGTTGAGCCCTTTTTCTGTCATTAGTTGTCAGTTTGTCTTCTTCATTTTACTTTCTGCTCCATTCATTGTGGCCTCTCTGCCACTGTTTCTGGAATCTTGGTATCTTTCTCTTTTACAATGTCCCGCAGTATTCTCTGTAGAGTTGAATTGGTGGTTGCAAATTCCCCTAGTTCCTCTTTATCCTGGAAGCACTTTGTTTCTCCATTAATTTCTAGGGACAGTTGTGCAGGATATATCAATCTTGGCTGGAGGTTATCTTTCAAAGCTTGAATTATTTTGCCCCACACTCTTGTGATTTGTTGGTTTGTGCTGAGAAGTCTGCTGTAATTCTGATGGGTGTTCCCTTGTAAGTGATCTGTTTCTTGTCTCTGACAGCTTTTAATATTCTGTTCTTATATTGGATTTCTGGAATTTTGATTATTATATGGCTGGGTGTAGTTCTGTCTGGGTTGTAGGTGGCCAGGGTCCTGTATGCCTCATACATCTGAGTATCTTTACCTTTTCCCATATTAGGGAAGTTCTCCTTGATTATTTCTGTGAATAGCCTTTGCAGTCTCTGCTTCTTCCTTTTCATTCTTAATTCTTAAGTTATAGGTCCTCTTATCATATTCTAGCCTTTGTATTCTTACTGCTTGTTTCCTTGTTATTTTTAAGAAGCGTTTCCTTTCATGCTCCCACATTACAAATCTGTCCTCTAGTTTAGATAATCTATCCTTAGTTTCTTTCAAGCTGTTATGCCAGCTTTCAATACAGTTTTTAGTTTCCTGGTAATCTCTTTGAACCTGCTTCATGTATTCTACATTTCCTCTATTTTCTCCATCAAACAATTCTCCCCTTTTTTTCTGTCCTTCCATTCCACCATCTGCTTTTTATTGGGAGGTGCTTAGCATTTCTTTAACTATTCTACTTATATCTTGCTTTACTTGGTCACTTTTGAACTTGTCTATGAGGTCCCAGAGATATCGCTTTATGTCTATTGGTGCCATGCCTGATATTGCATGTTTTCTGTTCTCATTCTCCTTTGCATTTACCTTTCCTGGATCAGTGTTCTCAGGATTGGGGACTAAGGACCCTTTCTTGTTGCTCCCTCTCTCCATACTTTTTGTTCCTTCCATACAAGCATATATAGGAGGCCCAGTTTCTTTCTTTCTTGGTTACAGTTTGTTTGAATTGCGCCGGCTAGGTCTTCCTGCCCACTGCAGTGTACTGGGCAGCCTATGCTGGGTTCGCCCCTCCAGGTCAGTCAACCTGCTGAAGGCCTCATTGCATTAGGGTGCACTGCCAGGCACCGGGACCTGGTTTGGCCTAGTCTACTGGTCTTAGTCTGCAGCATCACTCAGGTCAAGTGCTCCCCACCAATGCTGCTTGAGAGGGGAATATGTGACTGAAGTCACTGCAGTGTCCTGTTCTGGCTAGTCTTCCTGGTCCCAGAATGTCCTCTGTTGAAGCCTCCTAGTATACGGACGGGTCCCTGTTCCGCTCACTCACCGCAGGCTGATGCAGGGCTCCCCGCCAGCTTTGCTTTCAATTCAGTTCGTGGATTCCTGCTCTCAGAGCTTTCGTGTCTCTATCCCTGCTGTGAAGATTCAGATGCAGCAGCGGCGGCAGAAATTCAAGCCGTGGTTTCCAGAGGCACAGGTTCCAGCTTCGGCACTCAGACTTTAGCTTTTCCCGTCGCAGCACCGGGATTGCATTTCCAGTTGGTTTCTCTCAGCTTAGTTCGTTCCTGGGTCAGCAGGTATATCTCCCCCTGCTTAGGACTCCCCACACGACACCATTCCTGGAATCTAAGCTGGCTATCTCAGAGAGCCTCCGTAGCTGCTGTTATCTATCTACCATGTTCTCCTAAAGATTCTATTAACATAGGATCTCTTTAAGACATGTTAAGCACATGGAAGTTTTTTTTTTTTTTTTTTGGTCTTTTTCCTTTTTATCGGTACTGGGGATCGAACTCACGACTGCCTGCTTCCAAGGCAGGCGCTTATGCTGCTGAGCTAAACCTCCTGCCCCCTCACATGGAAGTTTTTAAGACACTAAATACAGCTGTCAACAAGATTATGTTTCCAAATAAAGTGGATTCCTTTGTCTCTATTTTTAAGTATCACTTGGGAGATGCGCTTCCATTGTAGCACAAATTCATATCATGTATATTACCCACTAAAATAATTTACTCTTAACATGTTATAAACATTTTCTAATAAAACACCAACTTATAAAAACCATATGCCCTGTTTTTGCTCTACCACTGAAATTAGTTATTATGCGATGAATAAGCAATTCAAAAAATCCAAACACCAAGTGTTTTAATTGTATTACTGTGCATTTAACTTTTATTATTTGGCTTCCTCAGGACAGCATTACAACATGATGTAAAATAATTTTAAAGCTCTGAGTACTGTTGTAGACAATAAAGCTTTAAATTGCCTTTGTGGTGATGTGAATGGATCTTTTTTTAAGTTCCAAAAGCAAGCTGAGCTCATAAATGTATCCAGATCTATAAATCTTTTTTGAGCTTTTTATTTAGACAGAAGCAGAAGCACATGGAGAAGTCACTGAGACCCCAGTGAATGACCTTTTTCATTTCTTCCCTGTTTTGTGTCAGGCAGGACTCTCATGCATTTGCTTATAGTCCTCCCTCCAACCCTATGAGCTATTATTTCCACAGTTTAGAAGCAGCTGAGATTTAATAGAGTTAAGAAATGAGCCCACAGTTGATAGCCAACAACCAAGCCCGGATCTGTCTGCTTCTAACCACTAACTTGCCCCCCCCCAGAATGTTTGTGGTATCTAATTTCTTATAAAGGATAACCTTGTGGCTTTGGCACAGACAGACACCGCCCCCCCACCCCGTCCCTTTCCCCTCCTCAGTGCCGGGATAATCTGAAGCATGGGGGAATTGTTTGGCGCTGTTTTCTTCTTATAGCCTTGTCACATCATCAGCTTTTGGCCAAACTGAAGGACTGGAATGGCACATGAAGCGGGCATTTTAGGGGGACTGGTGATTTCTCCTGCTTATTATTTGGCCATTTTTAAAGTGCTGAAATAACATCACTCAGTATTTTTTTAATTTTGAAAGACTATTTTAGGGCCATCAAGTAAATGTAAAACTACCATTTTTCTGCTAACATCCAGATATGAAGCATGCCAATTTGTACTTGACAAGTTCTACAGTGACAAAGAGTCACAGCAAACACTACATTTCTTAATATTTAAGGTTGGCCTTAAAAGATGGATTGGGCAATCACATGTAGTGACAAAGAGGTAGACATGGGGCTGCCAGTTGAACACCAGCTGAAGTGTGCCATGTCAAGGAAATTATGGGACTTCAGTGAGTCTTGGGCTCCCCAACAGTAAAACAGGAAAAGAATGTATTTCACGCGATTGTTGTGGTGGATTAAATGAGAATAATGCAGAGAAGATGATTAGCTTATTCCAACAAAAATACAGTGTTTACATTTTAAAAATTATGATAGTAAAAGATACATTGCCATTAATCTTCAATACTCATCCTCACTTTGAGCATATTTATGCCATCATTTTGACCATTTTCTGCAGCAGTTCTGGAAGTCCCTTTCTTGAATGTCTTTAGTTACATGGCTGTCTCAGTATCCTGAAGTAATTCAACTGTTTACCTTTCCTGGTCTTTTTGGCTTTGGGGAAAAGCTAGAAGTTGTATAGCACCAGATCTGGTGAGTAAACTGGATGAGGACACCCTGTAATGTTTTTATGAGCCTGCCTTCAGGAGGGCACTGAAGGCACCAGTGGATGCCTTCTGGTTGGATGGCACTTGGCAGCCTCTTTCACTATATTTTTTTTTATTATGCCTTGTAAAGACAAGAAAGGAGATTTACAGAACTACCAAAGAAAGAATGATGGGACAAGTGTGTTGAAGAAAGAGTATTTTGAGAGCAATGTCTTACTGTAATACACTTTCAAACTTAAACACTTGTATTATCGGATTACCCTGTGTATAGCATATTCCAACACTTAGAGGCTCAGCACTAATGTAGGAAAAGGCAACAAGCTGTGAAATGCTGGTGGTCTGAAGTAGCAGGGTAACCTATGCTGCAGCTGTGGACAAGTTGGGAATGGGCCTGGCTGAGCTCAGGTCATATAACTTCATTCAGTATGTAAGGAGAACCGTGGAGGAGCATTCAAGCAGGAGAGAGATGAGTCAGGAAAAGGACAGGAGGAGAGTACAGCCAGGGAGTAAAAAAAAAAAAAAACCTATTATGAGCCTATAAACCAATAAAGATAAACTGGCACCGAAATTCCATTACGCTTTCTGCATTTTGGAACTCCTGGGAAGACCTAAGCTGTAAGGCACATCTGTTCCCTAACCACCTACTTGATTCGAGGAGGTGATTCGGTACTTCTGCTCTTCTCTTGGGCTCCTCCACCAGGCTCTTCAAAAGGAGGGGCACTTCATTATTCAGGGGGTCTTCTATGTTCCTTAATTCTCGGCTGGAGGCTTTCACTGCTGGCATTTTATCAAGGAAAATGAGTCTTTTTTCTAGAATCAGAGGTTATTTCCTGGAGAGAAAAGAGCAGTAGTATGATCATTCTCATGCACGTTTCCGCTCCAGTTCTGACAAATGTACCACTGGTTCTTGCACGGTTTACTGCGGTGCAGGCCCTCCCTATGTCTTGTCTCCGTTAGCTATTCCCCTTCCACACACAGCTGGCCCCACTAATCTTCTTGCATTACACTTCACAACCCAGTGTGGGGCTGCTCTAAACCCTTCCATGGTCTTCCAGAGCTTCCCCCAAAATACTCTGGGAGCACAGGAAGGCTCCCACAGTGAAGTAAACTTGGAAAATAGTGAAGCAAGCAGTTAACAGGATGCCTCTTTCTGAGATTTCTCCGAATCGATTTCTTAGAAGTATGAGACTGTGGATCCTTTCCACACTTGGATTCATTTGTGGCATTTCTAAGTCACTTTGCTGGTCCTCCTTGCTATCAGGAGGCCAGGAGACAGTGAAGTCAACAGTCAGCCAGATGTGGAGAGAAGAGCACAATCCCAGGCCCTCTGCGGCTCTCAGCCTAGGTTGCAGCACTCCTCTCTGCGAGCCTCACCTTCCCTCAATATGCTCATCTCAAACCCCTGTTTCTCATGAGGTCCCCCTGGATCCTAATACCTGTCAGCAGTCTTTAGAAATTACTGTGGCTATTTCTCACTTGATGCTAACGATTGATCGCCTTGTAACTGCACTTTACAGATCCCACATTTGCTAACATCTTCCATAACTAAGACCCTTAAACTAGGGCCTTTTGTCAGACCAGAAGGCTGTTTCAGTGAAGCTCTAAAAGTGAATGTAAAATTAGGGGTGAATCTGTGTTTTTTCCTGAAGAAAGCCCATAGCTTCAGGGTCCCAACAATCTACAGCATCAAGCTAAACACAGTGAATACATCACTTTGAGAAAGCAGTTTCCGCTGTCAGCTCCCCTTCACCCCCTCTCACTAGCACCCCACGTTAGCATCCCTGAAGGCTGTTCTGTTTAGCCTCACCCTTCCTCCATCTCCTGGTGCCTCAAAATCCTGGCCTCAACTTCAATAATGTACAGAGTTAAAAGGCGATCACGCAGCTTGCCTTCCACCACCGAACTGGTGGTGACTGTCACCCCTCCCGCTGGCTCCCGGCCTTGGCCTCTGACCCGGAAGCTCCTCCCGGCGGCCACAGCTGTCTCTGTGCAGCCATCCACGCCCACTCCGTTCTTTTCCAAACCCTTGGGGCCCGACTTCTGCTCCCACACAGGCCAGGATGACATGGCTGAACTTGCTCTGGGTTCCGACTGCCTCAGCCGCTCGGCAGTGGCGCTGGGCCGCCTCTAGGCCACCCCTGGAGGCCGCTCACCCTGGAGAAAGTTCCCAGGCAGGATTCTGCTAGCGCCAGCGCCTGCTCTCAGCGTCGCCATGACGACGTGGACGCGCTCCTGGGGGTGGGGAGCGGTGGGGGGAGCCGGGCTGCCGGGATAGGGGGGCGGTGGTGGGGCGGAGCCGGGCGGCCTCAGGTCCCCGCCTAAGGCCTCGGGGCTCAAAGCTGTCGTGAAGCCCAGGGACGGATAGAGAACAGAAAACGCAGCTTGTGATATGCAAGGCTAATGAATTTCCAGGAGGAACTGAGAAAGTGCTGAGACACCATCAATAGACAACTTGGGGGACCAGACACAGGGTCAGATGGGACAAGGCCTTTCCCAAAGAAGTGTAGTCCTGCACTAGCACTGGAGTGCTATGAGAAATCTCTACACCTAGCTGCAACCATGATCCTATCACTGCCAATCTTGTTTCATCCTGACCTTTGCAGTATTTACTCTGTATTATTTTGAAAACCACCCCATACATCAATTCATCTATAAATATTTCAGAATGTGCCTCCAAAAGATAAGGATTCTTAAAAAAAAAATCTTAAAATTACAATTTCTTATATCCAAATATATTGTACTCAGTATACTCTAGTTTCTCTTCAAATTGTATAAATCTTTCACCTTTTACTGAATATATTGTACTCAGTAGTCTTGTGAATGCCCCCCAGTGTTTGTCAGTTTGAATCAGAATTCAAATACAGTAAATTTACATGTTGGAATAAGATATGTTCTGTACTTCATTTTATTTTGCTATATGTGATTGAAAGAACAACTATTGTGATGATAACAAGATACACTGTAATACCTATTGCTGTTATCCCAGTAACCTGCTGTGAAGTTCTGTACCAATTTCACTACACTGTCACAGTTGGCTTTATTCTGCCTTGTTCTGTTGTATTTTACTATCTTCAAAATAAAAAAAAAAAAAAATGAAAAAAAAAGAAGGCTTTCTGTCTACACCAAGCTGTGTGCTCCTGACCTTGCACCCTGATGGCACGTGATGGAACCTCAAAGATAGTTGTAGAATTGTAGTGGCCTTAATGCATTATACCAAGTGGTTTCCAAAATTTAAATCATAGGGGCTCTGGGGTATAGCTCAGTGTAGAACACTTACCTAGCATCCACAAGATCCTGGGCTTGATCTTCAGCATTGTAGAGAAATAAATCAGTAAAATTCAAATCATATATATTGCTGGAAATCAGGGAATATACTCATATAATTCAAAAAGTTTAAAAAAGATCTCTTCCTCATCTCTATCAGTTAGCAAATTTCCTTTCCTCAGGGTAAATAATGCTTCATATTTGTCTTTTAGGAATGCCTGTGTTTGTGAGAACTTTATTCTTTGTTTAGAGCCTAAATAGCTTACTCTTCTTTTTCACTTAAAAAACTATCTGTATCATCATCCCACATCTCTGTATAAAGTACCTTGTTATTCTCTTTTATGACAGTATAATATTTAATAATTTATTTGCTCATCTCTATTGTTGAATATTTAGGTTTCTAATCTTGTGCTTCTGTAAGCAGTGCTGTTATTTGGACAAGGGAGCACATAATTCCTGCAAGACTGTGCATGCGTATACATGTGAGTGTATCTGTAGGAAAAGTCACCAAAGGGTTAGTGCTGTGGTCAAAGGGTCTGTCAATTTGTAATATTAACTGTTGTCAAAGTACTACTCTCCATGGGTATTGCACTTATTTCTACTCCTACCTGTCATGTATGGGATCATTTGTTTTCTTATAGCATCAACAACAAGTATAACTTTTTTATTTTCATTGCTCTGATAGATAAAAATTTCTATCGCAATAGTATTTTTGATTTTTGCTTTCTCACATAAGTAAAGGTGAGAATATTTTCATGTTTAGGAGACATTTATATTTTTCTCTTCTTTTAATACGTTTTACTGATGCTATCGTTTGATTTCTGGTCTTTATTGAATTGTTGGTGTTCTTCACATATTAAATACAACCATTTGTTCTGTGATAACTGTTGGAATTTCCCCCCAATTGTCACTGTTAGGGTTTTTCCTTGCAGAACTTAAAAATTATGTTGCATTTATTGAATATTGTTCTGTAACAAGTTACTTCCTGAACTTAGTGATCTGAAGCAACTACATTCATTTACTTGTTCTAACCCAGAGAAGGGATAGGAATTCAGATGAGGCATGGCTGTGAAGGTTTATTTCTTCTCACTGATGCCTGGGGCTTCAGTTGGAAGATTTGAAAGCTCAGAGGCAGAGTCATTTGATAGATGATGTAATGCTGTCATCTGAGAGCAGAACAATGATCAGGACAAATAATTTAAATGCACTGGAATTATTTTCAACCTCAAACAGGATATAGTAGTACGCATGTGTTATCTCAGATATTTAGGAGGCTGAAGCAAGAAGATCTGGCTAACTTAAGGCTATTTAAGAAACATATCAAGTACCTGCCTCAAAATAAAATCTTAAAGAAAAAAAGAAACAAAAGAAAACACTAAATGATGGACATTATTTTCCCCCATTACACAAATGACGAAATTGAGGCTTTGATGACTCAGGTAACTTGCCCAGTGTCACATAGTTAATTTATGATTAGATCAGGGTTTGAACCCAGTTTTGTGATGGCAACATTTTTTCTCTCCACTCCTCTGTGTCTGTGCACGTTACCTGGAATTAAAGGTAGGACTTTGTGCTGACCTGTATCTGCAGCCCTCTTTAGCTTTTTGGTTTTTTAAAGTCAGAGTCTTGCTAAGTCACTAAATTCTCAGGCTGAGCTCAAGGTTGTGGTCTTCCTGCCTCAGCCTTTCAGAATGCCAACATTATTTTCTCCTTCGGCCAACATGGGTAGCCAGGGGGTCCTCTGGGAGCTTGGGGTGAGCCTGACCTTGCTTTGCTCCATCCAGTGAGGACACTGACTTGGAAGTATGAGCAACACAGTCTTTCAGGTATGTTTTATTTGGTCTCTTTTATTTGACTTGCTTTAACTATAATGGTTCATATAAATATTCAAAAGGATGCTGACAAATAGAGGCGGCCTATTCAAAAAGTAAAGAAAAACCTATTTTCCTGAGAAAGCCAGCCCGCATTTCCAGAGTGTAAACAATGAGCCTGAATCATAAAAACCTCATTAAAATGTCAGTGTTCTACTTTGTACTTCAGGACTGAATTGGAAATCACTCTTGCCCCATTATTTATGGCTCATCAGTAATACATTAGCTCAGCTCCTGGTAAAGCTGACAGTCAGGGGAGCACAGGTCTTTTTGTTTGGTTTATTCCATATCCAGACGACTGAGGAGATCTTTGCACTTGTGTGGTTGTTTGGTGAAGACCTTAGACTCAGACATCCAGGGACAGCCAGTTCCCGCCCCCACTCCCCTACCCCCGTCCCCAGTGCTGTCCTTGCTCCTGCACCCCTAACGGGCCCTTTCAGCTCAGACATCACTTCTTCTGGGAGGCCTTCCTCAGGTGCCAGTCAGGGCTGTTCCAGTTACAAGTGATGACAACTGATTTAAAAGGTAGAAGGAATGTCCGAAGAAAGAGGGAAGAGGGAGAAGGTGAAAAGAGAGAGGGGAGAAGAAGAAGAGAGACAGAGTGAGGCTCCTTCAGGGCTCCAGTTATACCGTGCCACATCCTAGTGTGACAGCTTTGCGTCTCTCCATCCTTTGGTTTCTTCCAGTCAAAGCTGGCTACATTCTCAGTCAGGTTGTTGTGGCAAAGACCAGTAGCCTAGGTTAAGCCACTGTGGTTAGTTGTTTTGGGGGGTGGTAAGAGTGGGAAAGGAAGGTTTTTATATCAGACAAAGGGAGTAGAGGTTCGTCTACATGCGTGACTCTTTGAAATTGTTGATATTTAAATGCATTTTACCTACAAGCGGCACAACAGATAAGAATTAAGCTGATGTATTAATCCACCTAGCTTGGTCTTGTTCCTTACTATCTGCTCTCATAGAATTTGTTGCAATTTGCAGTATCACCTACCACACATTCTATAGTTGCTCATGTTAGCCAACCAAGAGGTTTGTCCCATATGTGATGAACCAAGTCTTTTCTTAAAATGTTATTCTGTTTTTTATTAGCAAAGATACAAGAGGCTTAACATGTATTATTATTCAGAAGTTGTTGTCTGAAAACATAATAGATGCATGTGGTTCAAAATTCTTGGAACAATTTTCCTACTTTACACAAGAAAAAAAATAGGCCTTGGGTTAAGGCAAAGAAACTCAAACTGTAGACCACATTATGGTTGCTTTATTAGAAACGATGATCAAAAAACACAAGTCTCTTAGTCTTGAGAAATAATCATTGTCTTGGGTCCTTGGAAGAAGGTGCAGTCGTAACACCTTGGCCTTGTACATTGGCTGAGGTTGTCAAAGACAATTTTCTCAGCCCTCCTTATCTTGGCACAACACCTGGAACAGATTAGTGAGTACTCACTGAATGGACATTAGTTATTGTCTTGGTTACTTTTCTCTCATTCCTGGGACAAAACATCTGACACCCAAAATGAAGGAAGGAAAGGTTTATTTTTTAGCTCACTGTTTGTGGAGGTTTCAGTCCATAATCATCTGGTTCCAAGGCCGGGCGGCGTGGCACTGCAGCAACACTTCAAGGAAGCAGCCAGAGCAAAAAGGGCGGGGGCCGGGGGGAATAAGCCTCTTCTCCTTCATTATACTGTTTTGCAGTCTCCCTGCCTAGGGCAGTAGCTCTCACAAAATCTCCTTGCCCTCCTTTGCACAGGATGAGGATATTTACAAAGAAGGAACCCTGGCTTCCTGCTGAGTCTCTCAATTAAACTTCTAAACTGCTCAAGTTGACACAATGTATCAACCATAAGTTATCTTATAGGCACTTATTAGTATTGAAAAAATAAGGCTAATATTTCTAATAATAAATGGTGAATCCTTTCCACAAAATGAAGAATGAGATCACTTTATAATCAGACAAGCCTCAAGTCAGACTGTAGGTGCTTCATTTACTCTCTACAAAAGGTACAGCAGAAATACGTAGATATCTTACCTTTTTGTATGGCTAGAAGGGAACACACACTTGCTAGCTGTCTTTCTCCAAAGGAAAAGGAAAACTTTCTAGGTCTTTTGCATGAGAAGACAGTTGAAACCAGGAGCTGAGGACCTGGCCAAACTCCTACAGAAGCAGAGAGCCAGGGCCCCTTCCTCCTGACTTTACATTTCAGGGAGATGGTTCTAAACCCCCAAGAAAGGCATTCCTTGGATACAAAACTGGCAAGAGGGGTTTGTTTCACTTTTAAGAAAAGACAGAGAATGTCTTTCTGAAGGAAATATTGAAAGAAAAAGGAGAGGAGATGATCTCTTTCCTTCTTCACCAGGGAAGTTTTAATTTTTCTAATTTGTATTTACCCTAATGTCTGCCTCATCAGGGTGATAAGTGCTTCAGTATGGAACTACTGGAGAAATTTATCCTAGCACAAATGTAGACAGTCTCATCCTCGGGGTAACCATTATAAGAACAGAGTGACTTACCAGTGTTTGGAATAGTCATGACTTCAGATTATTTGTCCTACTTTCATCTGCAGTGGGATTGGAAGGAAAGGAATAGAATTAGATGTGGAGAGTCATCAAAGTCAAAGGTGTGGCCATTCTCTGTCTCTCATGGGGTTATAATGCACTTCACTGGCGTGGAGTATGACATTTCCCCACAGTGGCCATCACAGTATTTATAGTCACATGTGCTCACCCAGAGTCGCCCTCCCCCCCATCAAGAACTATCGTCTGCTATAGTTGGATCTTAAATTCCCTTTAAGGCCCCACGTGTTAGAGGCTTGGTCCCAAGGTGATGTTATCAGAAGGTAGTGTCACTGCTAGGAGACAGGATGTGCCCTTGAAGGGATTTCTCTTTGCCCCCTGGCTCATAATGTAAGTGGGGATTTTTTCTACCACGTGCTCCCACCACAGTGTGCTGCCTTGTCTCAGGCCTAACTGATCATGGATGGAATCTCCAAAACTGTGAGGCAAAATGAATTACTTCTCTTTATATGCTGGTTATTTTGTCAAAAAGTTGACTAATACAGAATGTTTGTCACCTCTTTTTGAACTTAGATGAATATGGAGGAAAACAATTGGGTGAAGGTACAGCTCAGTGGTAGAACACTTGCCTAGCATTTGTAAGGCCCTGGGTTCGAACCACAGCACTGAAAACCAAAACAGAACAAAACACAAGAGATTGTCAAGACTGTCACAAAAGCCCAGGAGAAGAGACAGTGTATTTATTCTGCTACCTGTTCCCTGTGTGAGGCCACCATTTCAATGGTAGTTCTATTTATTTATGGTTAACTTCCTATGGGTGCCCGTCTTCTAGGATAGCTCTTGCCAACTTCTGGGAACACTGTTTTGGCTCCTTGCCAATTGTTAAAGAAAAATTATTCTGACATTTGTTAAAATGGTAAGGAGGACTTTATTCAAAACTGCTGCAATCGCCAGAGGTTTAGTTCAGTGGTGCAGCGCCTGCCTAGCAATCATGAGGCCCTGAGTTCGGTTCTTAGTTCCAAACAAACAAACAAACAAAAAACTACCACAATTTAGGTTTGATCAACAGGGAACAGAGATGGGGCTCAACTCCAGCATGAGTGGAGATATAAAGCCGGGAAGTAGTTGGAGGTCAATGAACGGAAGTTCCTGAGAGGAGATATCAAGTTGGGAGATTCTTGCTAAACCTACTAACGATATTCTTACTGAGGGCAGGCGAGGCTGTATATCAAAGATGAGGAGGGAAGGAGAACTGTCGTCAGATATGACGATCAAGGATGGGATGGGAGTTCTCACTGAATGAACTGAGCAGGATTCTTGCTAACACCAGACCAGGGAGAATGAGGACAGGACAGGGCCAACAATGATGCTTAGATGAGAAGAAGGCCCAGAAGCCTAACTAAAGATTAATCAAAGAGAGCATCTCTCACTCTTTAGGCTTCTCACGGTTGATCCTTGTTGCCTCCCTGCTCCTTGTTGCTTCCTGCCTATTCTCTGCACATAATCATTCCTTTTATTTTCTTTTTGTCATGCATGGTAGGCAAGTGCTTCACCACTAAACTATATCTCCAGGCTTTTTTTCCTTTTTTTTTTTTGGAACAGGATCTCACAAAGTTTCCCAAACTGGTTTGTGTTGAACTTGTGACCCTCCTGCTTCAACCTCTTGAGTATATGAGATAACAGGCCTGCTCCACTGTGCCCAGCCATAATCCTTCCATTAGACTCTTCCTCAATCAAAGTGCTTGAAAAATGGCGCCATCTTCCACCAGGCCTTCTACCTGGCTCCTACCACCAGTCAGAGTAAAAGATTTTTGCAGACTTGCTTCAGAAACTCCAAGAATCTATGGCACAGGCTGGGGCTCAGTCTTGGGTTCAAATTCTAACTCTTCCCCTCGTTAGCTGTGTTAACAGATCACGTGCCAATCTTCCCCAAGGCTCAAGTCCCATCCTTCAAGTAGTTTTGTACAACCAGATATGATAACACACCTCCAAAGTCTTCTAACAGAGCATGCGAGCTTTCCCCACTCCTTCCCCTTCCTTCCCCTGCCCTTCTCCTCCCCTTCCCAATTTCATTGTGAAATTGTTTTCTTGGGCTGGTTTTACAAAGCCACCTATTGCATCTACAGCTTGTAACATGCCTTGCGCAGAGACCCTCAATCTTTTTTCTCAACTCGGTGAGGTTTGCAGTTTCCCACTTAAGGAAGAATGGCTTGCCACAGGCTAGATGTTATTGAACTGGCCAGAACAAATGTTGTTTTGCTTTTTCGTAAGACATTATAAGGCTTTGTTATATAGCAGATTTCAGTTTTATGGTTTTTTATGTCCTTCAATTGAAATATTAATACCTAGAGTTGTTACAGAAAATATTCAAACAAAACCAAAGTCTATATAATAAAAACTGCAAGCTCTTATCTTTTGCACTGTCTGATACACATTGTTTTGAAATCCAAAGAACCTAAAAAAGTTACATTTTTTGTCCAAAATCTTGAGTAATTGAAAAATAAGATTGAGAGATGGGGACCTATATCACCCTTTCTCTTCCTTCTCCTTTCTTCTTTCTTTCTTCTCTTCTCTTCTCTCTCTCTTGCACTCTCTCTTTCTCTCGCTCTCTCTCTCTCTCCCCACCTATCTTTTTCCTCAATGCCCAGGGCCTCATAATGCTAGACAACTGCTTTGTTGCTCAACTAACTCCCAGTGCAAAATACTACTTTTATTAGTAATAAAGCTGGTTTTGGAGAATGCAGTTTATATTGGCGGGCAAGCAGGTTTCCTAACGTTAAATCCCAGAATTAAATAGACCGCCATCCTGTCACAGAGGGCATTAGACCAATGGGATAGGGTGCAGGATCCTTGACTACCAATCAATCACAGCTTGGCCCAAGTTTGTCCAGTTATAAGCTCTCTGTAGGAAGGCGAGGTGGTAAAGGAGTGATCAGAACTCAGTGGTTCCTTATTATCTCAAGTGCGTCAGCCTGTAGAGCTAGTCTCACCTGTGCTTGCATGTTTGCATATTCCTGTGTGTGCATGTGTATGTACATGTTAAAGAGGAAATAGAAAGAGGTCAGGAGGGGTAAGTAATTGTTGCTCTCCAAGAAGAAAGAATCAAGGAGGGACTCACATTTCACCTTTCACCAACATCAGCTCCCTGCTATTTTACTTCCGCATATACCTGCACACATCTCAGGCCTCCTGATGATCGTCTGTGTAGAAAACGTTCCTAGATAGGAGGCACTGGCTGTGAGTATACTTTAGCTTGATGTGTGCTGAACACACTGCTGAAAGCACCCCCCCCCCTTATTTCTGCTAGGATTTGCCAACCTCACCTTAGGATAGCAGGTTTCTTTGGGGGAGGCTGCTGCTGGGGTGCATTGTTGCTTAAGCAGCTGCTGAGCAATCTGAGCAGATGCCTGCAGAGGACCCAGGCTTTCCTCCCAGGGAGTTTCTGAGTTGCAGGCACCTAACTGGGCAGGGGAAACCCTCTGCTCTCAGTGTTCTCATCTATGCAAAGGGCATCATATCACTTAGGGTTTGGGGGGAATTAAGTGAGTGGGTTCAAAGTTCCAGAAGAAAGGGCAAGAAAGGAGACACCAGAGGGAGGCGAGTGAGTACCAGGCCAGAGAAAGAAAAACTAGACCTGCCAGAGCCACTTGGGGTCCCTGAACTCAGAGGCCAGAAGTTATCCTGTGCATGGGCAGCCGATTCTGAGACTCATTCAGGTGCAGCTGGTCACCTGGAATATCTGGAATAACAGCCTCCCAGGGACATCAGGTCGCAGAACACCTCCATCCAGGCAGCTCAGGGTCAGCCCAGTCGGTCCCCAAATGCCTGGATGAACCAGAAAGTCCTCTTTGTTCTCACCTGATCATCAGAGGCTTCCTTGGAGGTATTGAGAGATTTCCTGGAATAACGGAGTGTACCTTTAAAAATAAAAAGTGAAAATCTGAAATAAAGTTCAAGAAAGCTGCCCCAAGGAAGGCAATAAGTACTTACCAAGCCCCTGCTTCTCTGTGTCGGACGCTGGGTGTTGTGTTCCTGTGTTGTTACAGTGGAGCACATTGGACTCAGGTGTCCATTGGCACCCAACGGTCCTGTTGCTTACGTCAGTAGACTGGGGGAGACCCTGTCTTCCTGGGCTGGGCTGGAGGGAGGGCTGCAGCGTCCAGAGCTGGGCAGAGCTTGAGGTGACGGCTCCAGGCCCCGCGCCCCCTCTCCACCTCTCCTCCGCCCCCGCCAGACCCCGCGGGGTGGAGGCGCGCAGCCAGCGGCCAGCACTGAGTCCTTATCAATGCACCAGGCGGCTTAGCGCGTTCGCGGGCTCCGGGTCCCAGGAGGAGCAGTCCCAGGATCGCCACGGATAGGATCTGGTGGCTCCCTCATGGTTCCTGGAGGTGCTGGGCCCTCCCGGGATCTGGGACCTTGCGCTGGGCGTTAAGCGTCGGAGCCAGCAGAGCGCGTAGCCCGGTGGCCGTCGGAGCGCCCGCGAGGAGCGCGCTGGGCACCATGCGCCCCAGCCTGTCTCCGCTGCTGGTTCTCGCCTGCGCCGCGCACACTGTGAGTACCGCGCTCCGCCAGGGCACGGGGCCGCCTCTCTAAAGCCCAGCGCGCGATGAGAGTGCACTGGACCAACAAATCCTCCCCTGAGACTGGACCCTTCCCTCCCCCAACAATGATCTCTATCAGCTCTTTTCCAGGGGGTCTCTTCCCCAAGGATAAAACCGGGTGTGCCCAGAGGAAGGGTGGTGCTAAGATAAATCTACCTCCCACTACACTGTTTTCCTGGTCTCACCTCAATTCCTTCCAGACAGAAATTCTACAATTGCCACTGTCAATACCTGGCTTGTGGGCACTTTGCTTCCAGATGTTCAAATTAAAACCTCCTAAGCGCTGTTTGAGACTACTATCCTCGCTATACAGACAGAAAAGCCAGGACTACTACTGGTGTGTGTGTGTGTGTGTGTGTGTGTGTGTGTGTGTGTGTGTGTGTGTTTTGCTTCTAGTCAGAAAAAGGCTTGCAACCCATACCCTTGACATTTCACATGCGGGGCTGCAGATGGGAAAATCTGAGAATGCTCTGGCCGAGCTTCCTGGTCTGTGACGGGACAGTGTAACGTCCCCTGTCTGCCAGCTCCAGGGAGCAGCAGCTAGGTCCCCACAAACCAGGTCCTAAGAGAGGGCTAGAGAAGAAGAGAGAAAGTGGGAGGGTGGGTGGGTCTTTCCCATAGAAACTCCTGGGAATTCTGGGGGCTCCAGGTTGCAGGGTAAGATAGAGTTAATGGGGAAATGAAACAGAGATGTGGGAGCAGATTCCAGAACCACTAACCCAACCAATTTGTCTTCATTCTTCGTCCTGGGCAAGTCTTTCCAGGTGTCCATCACCTTGGGCCTCCTCCAGTCTGCTCCTGTTTGATCGTAAGGAACACTTGCTCCTGGAGCAGAGAGCACTGGCCCTCAGGAGATGCACTCTTTCTACCGCTCCAAGCCGGTCAGGCATCTGTAGTTTGGAAGAGTGTGATCCGGGGCTCATTCCCAATTCTCAAGTAACGTAACAGCCTCTTTTGTTCAGTGGAAGTGCTGGTCCTGGAAGGTTCTAGAACAATACCTACTCATTAATGTGAACGCCAAGTTTGGGGAAAAGCCACCCTGGACCCTGGGACAGTTCAGAGCCAAATGCAGTCTGGAGGGGTGCTTGGGCGCCTGGAGGTGGGCTGGATTCTAGCTGCTTCCTTTGGAGCCTCCCACCCTCCTGAGTATTTGCAGAACCCTTGAGGTTGTTACAGCTTGGCTGTCAGACTGAGGTTCAGTCTCTTTTTATGTTTCGTTTTGTTGTAAATTTCAGGGAGATTCTACCCTCCCCTAAATCATCTCAGCAATAAACAAAGTGGGAAATGAGCGGCTTTGCTTGGTTCAGATCTTGAGTGTACCCTGGAAAAAGTGCTTCCTTATACTCTGGATTCCCTCATTTTACAGCTGAGCAAACTAACCCTCCAGACCTTGTTTGCATGTCTTTCCGTACACCCAGGGCCTGCATTACAGGGTTTCCTAAGTATTGGCTGTGGTCTCCTAGTTGTTGGATGGCTTATTCTGATATTTCTCAGCAGAAAAGTCCTTTAATAAGTTTGAGTGGACTTGCCCTACTTTGTTTGGAGTATTTCTGAGCCTTTGATATGTGCTCTTCTTTGGTTTGATTCTGGATGGTCAGACATTTTATTTCAAAGTTCGAGGATACTAAAGGTAACTTCATTCATTTGGGTCTTCCCTTGAGGGAGATCATGGCGTCGTCTCAACAGGGGTCACTGGGTCTAAATTGTTTATTCCTCCCCATCCCAGGCCAGTGTCACAGGGTCCTTTGCCAGCGGCAGTGGCCAAAAGGGACAATTTTCAAAGGTCTCCTGTAGGAAGCACTGAACACCTCTGTCTAGTTCTGTACCCCTGAGTATCTTGTGGGAACTTTTACCTGGTTTATTATTGCAATTATTTGCTAACATATTTGTCCCCTTTTACCCCTGTAACATGTATACTTTGGACTTGAGCACTGACTTCATCTGGTTCATCCTTTACCCCTGGAACCTATAAAAGGGAGTTCAGTGGTGCATGCTGAGGGGATGATAAATAAGTGAAAGGATAAAGGCCCCAGAGGAGAGGGTCCTAACAGTGGCAGCTTCATATAGCAACAAGTAGTGAAGAATCCTATCTTGAAAGTGATCATAGCCTTTTAAATTATAGATAAACTTGTTAGGCAATGGAAAAAGAATCCCTCAAGGTAGGGCTTTTAAATCCATTGCACTGGGCAAACTGCCAACTCGATAACCTTAATGAGTTAAGTGAGTGGTTGGGGCTGTTTTATTAACTTTGATATTGTGTTAGTCATCAAGACAAAATACTCAGATAAATAATTTAAAGGAGGAAAGGCTTATTTTGCTCCTGGTTTCACAGGTCTCATGTCCTGGTTGGTTGCTTTTGGGCCTGTGATGGCAAGGACATCACAATGGGAACATACCGTGCAAGAAACCTGCTCACCTCACAGCATCCGGGAAGCAGGGTGAGGGTGGAAGGGGCTGGAGTCCCCACATCCCCCTCAAGGGTATACTTCTCATTTCCTCCCACTAAGCCTCACTTACTGAAGGTTCTACCACCTTGAAATAGTGTCATAGGCTGTCACAGACTAAGTCTTCAATATATGGGCTTGTGGGGGATAATTAAGATCCGAACTGTAATAAATAATGGGCCTCAATTGTTTGTAAGGGGCCCTGTCCTGTGCATCCTACAACATCTAGCAACATCTCTGGTATCTATCCACGAGAAGCAGGTATGTCTTTCCAAAGTTGTGACAACAGAAAACATTGCCAAATGTTGAGGAGGAGATTGTCCCTGGATGCCTCTGTTCCATGGGAGACATAGGAACCAACCTGACAGTAGAGTTCTCTGTATGCTGAATTCAGGGCAGTGGAGTTGGTGACAGGGGATCTGAGTGAAAGGACACAAATAGGTATATCTGATAAAAACTGTTTCTAAACCATGCAAGAAAACTTCTGTCCAGGGATTTATCTCAGTGGCACACACACCCGCCTGGCAAGCGTGAGGCTGTGAGTTTGATCCCGGTATTAAAAAAAAAAAAAAAGAAAAAGAAAAAGAAAAAGCAAGCAAGCAGGCTTCTGCAAGGAATAGGTTTTTTGGTCTTTTCTTTCCTCCCTTCCATCTTTTCTGTACCTATGCCTGCCCCTCCCTACTGGCTGATGGCTGAGAAACATGAAATTTCCAAGTATGGGGTCTGGCACATAGAAACCTGTGGTACAGGGTGGCTCTCACCCTTCCACGGTGCATATGGGTCCTGCGGCTGACTTGTCCAGTGACAACCTGGTGAGCAGCATTTTAGGAAGTCCTGCAAGTCACCTGGGGAGCAAGTTCTCTTTTATTGGACATTTTCTTTATGTATATGAAAAATTACTTCATTATTTTCTGAAGAAGTATTTGTAAATTAAAATAAGTTCATAAGTGATTGGTGGTGACGATGGTGGTGGGGATGGTGTTGATGATGATGACTCCTTAGTGATCTCCTGTTTCACAGCAGACACAGCCAAGTCCTTCCCAGACTATCTGATTTAATTTTCAAAATGACATTCATTATCTGCGTTGTGCAGAAGAATACACAGAGGCTCTGAGAGAGGTGAAGGTGCTTGTGGAAGGTCACCTGGTTAGACAGGACGGAGTGGAAGCGACCCTCTGACCTGGCAGTCCCCTCTGCTCCCGCAGAAGTTTGTTGTCATTACTTGTTCCCAAGGGACCATCCTAAAATTCTGTCCCAAACCTCAAAATGGCATTAATTTTTACTTCATTTCATCACTTTAAGAAACACAAAACAAATACGAACTATATGCAGCTGTTAGTGAGCAGGCCAGAGATGAGCTTGGGAGTGACAGTTTTAAACAGGATGAAGCGTCACTTGGAGCATCTTTCTCTTGGCTTTGACATCATCCTCTGGAGTTCTCTCAGAGCGCCCCTCCCTCCACCCTGTACCTGTTATCTTCATTAAGGATCTGAGGCCTGAAATTTCCTAGCATGCCCAGGGAAGCCTCAGCCTTTTCCTGGCACTGCCTCCTGAAGGCCCAATTCCCACCCAGGATTAGAGCTCCACTGCCAAGTGGCCCCCCCACAGTGGCCCCCAGTTTGGTTGTTTGGAGCCTGATGGTTCTCACCATAGACCTTCACTGAGACTCCAGGAAACTGCAACCAGAGGTAAACCCACAGCACTTGGATCCTCTCCACTCATGTACATGACAAAGAGGAACCTGCTCAGCACTGTGAGTCCTGGAGAAAAATAAGAATATGCTGGGCTCACCAGCCCAGGGACCCGTGGTGGATGATTCCAAGTGGCATTTGGGAAGAGGAATCCCTGGTTTATCCCATCCTGTAGCCCACTCCAACAGGCTGCCAGGATGCTGGAGGTTTCCAGAGGCCTCTCCATCGTCTCCCTACGTCTCTCATCACTTCCCCTGCCTGTGGCTTTGCGAGGTGCTCCTTGATACTCACCTATCTTTTCCAATCCCTGACCTTCCCATCTGCCTTTGCAGTTCCAGCAAGGATATTTGCCTCTCATTTTCTGACAGTCAATTCTCCTTGGATGGACCTCCTCTGACCGAATTCTTTTCTGATAAATGTGTCTAAGTTGCATCTTCTGTGCCATTTGTCTCAATCAGCTGGCTGTCCTAACAAGACACCACAGGCAGACCAGCTTAGACTGCAGAGATTGATTTTCTTGCAGTCCTGGAGGTCGAAGTCTAGATCAGTGTCCAGCAGGATTTGGTTTTTACTGAGGATTCTCTCCCAGAGGCTGCTTTGTGCTCACACAGCCTTTCCGATGAGCGTGCTAAGACCGGGTAAGCACTTTCTGGCATCTCTTCTTATGAGGACATGAGTCTTTTTGGATCAGGATCCTGGTTTAACCTTAATTATCTCCTTAGAGGTCCTCTGGGCTTCCCCTGAGGAGGCCCACTGATTCATGTAGCCCCTTCTTCCTACACAGTGGTTTCCTACCCCCATCATACCATCCCTCT